TAATAGCGAACGTAGGTAAAAACACCCGTCAAAGTTTTGTATCACTTTCAGATAACACTAAAATAAACATACAAGTCATCTCGGTAAGATACTGAAAAATTGCAGGAAGATATAAGCAGGGTTTTCTAGTGGGCGGTGGAGAACAACACGACGTGTAGTTGTGATTAGTTCTAGTTGCTTACATATGGAAAGAATGAAGAACTCGTAAGGGATACTGCATACAAAACTCAAGAGGATCATCAGATAGGACGAAATGAACGCGTAAAAAACCTGGGAGTAATTATTTCAGCTGACTTTCTTTCAAAGAACACAGAACCAATGTCACGACAACCAGGAGGAAGACTGGGTGAATAAGGAGAACTTTCAGAAGAAGGGAAATAGTGCCAGTGGTGACACGTTTCAAATCTCTTGTGTTCTCTTGTTTGGAATATTGCTCGGTGTTGAAGGTCCCGTTCAGGATAGGAGAAATATCAGAGCTGGAACAGATTCAGATATCGTTTACGGCCAGCATAGAGCCAATAAAACATTTAAATTACTGGGAACCCTCAAAGTTCTAAATATATACTCAATGGAGCAGAGAAAAGAGAGATACGTGATAATATATACCTGGAAAGCACTTGAATGCCTTATCTCAGATTTGCCAATTGCCCTAACAACATACTGGAATGAGAGATGTGGGAAAGTTCAAAATAAACTCAGTGAAAAACAGTTTTGCCGTGGGCACGATAAGAGATCACTATATCAACATCCGTGGCCCAGGCTTTTTAACATCTTACCGGAAGAAATCAAAAACACTGCTGGGACACATGTAGAAATCTTCAAGAGGAGACTGGATAAGTGTCTTCAACAGGTGCCTGAACTTATTAAAGGTATGTGAAAGCAAAAAAAAAAGAAAAAAAAAAAAAGAAGGGGTTCCACCCAGCACCTCTCCCAGCACCTCTCCCAGCTTTTCTCTTCCTGCCACTCCTCCTCCCCTCTCTTCCCGTCCCTGCCACCCACCTCATACTTTAGCCTGCCACCTTAATTAAACATAGTACTAAGCAAGAATAGATTAGGCTGGTCTACTTGTAGTTGATTCTGGAGGTCACTGTCCCCGCAGCCCTGTCTCAGACAGGGCTGCAGGTTAAATGACCTGGTTAAATGACCTGGTTAAATGACCTGGCACCAACAGCCTGATAAATCAGGCTGTTGGTGCCAACAGCACTCTGTTCAACCTAGACACCAAAGCCTGGCTAATCAAGAACTGACTTAAACTTACCAAAGTTCCTCTTGTTTCATTTTAAAACGTAGCTGTATTTCAGTGTTTAGCAAATCCCAGAAGAGCGTCCAGTGTTTAGGGATAGCAAAGCATGAACCAGTGTTTGGAAGAGGTCAGCGGAGGACCTGGTCTAGTGTTACTGTGGGAAGGAGAGAGAATGTTTAAAGAGATCCCAGCGGAGCAACCAGTCTAGTGGTTTATAAAAAGACACGTGAGTGAACTCTAGGACATAGAAAACGTTTCGATCCTGGGTTCTTGATCTCAGGTCCAGGGTCACAGAACCGAAACGTTTTCTAATATGTCCTAGTCAGGCAGGGATTCCCAACTTTTCCTCCATCATTAATCCCCTCGGCTTGATGTATTTCTTCACTTATCCTCTTATTTCCATACAAAAAAATTATCGCCATCATAAAGGGACAGAAAAACAAGGTCAGAAAAAATAAATTAGTGAATTATTCAATTATCAGGTACATCAGATATTTTTTACCCCCTCAAAGGGATAAATTTACCCCTGGTTAAGAATCACTGTCCTAGTGTTTGTCGGTATCAATTACCAAGGTTAATACCTCCCAATCTAATACCAAAAACAAACACTTCACATCGTACAAGCACATAATAATAATAATAATCTTAATTGCTACAAGTACACGTACAACATGGTGGTGGAAGCGAGCCTCGGTCAGTCATCTTGCTCTGGGGCAGTGTCCAAGAAGTTGAATCTCGGTGTTTAGCGTTGTGCTTGCCTGCACAGCAACATGCAAGGGTAGACATGACTCACAGGTTCTCCATTCTTACCAAGTGTGAACTCTAGTTTTGATGTCAACCATGTGTGTAACACACTGAGGGACACATTGTGCTGCTGCTGCTGCTTCCCACATGTCTTACGTCACGTGTGTAACACATGAGAATTTGAGGAGCACTGCCGGAGGCCTACTGGTCTGTGACAAATAAGATATATTTGCAACATTTAGGTATTTTTATTGCCGAAACGTTTCGCTTGTATAGCAGGTTTCCTCGAACGGATACACGTGAATGTAGCACTGGAAGCAGTAGTAGTAGTGACGTGATAAGTTCGTTACCCTTGGTGGGAGGTGATCAGTCCCTAAAGCATAGATAAACAAGCGGCCAGACTCTATATACTAGAGTAGAGGTGAGATGAAGCAGCTGGACTTGACGTCACAAGTGAGCGTGGCCCACTAGTGGAAGTAGATCATTCTAAACACTTGTTTAGAATAAAAGTTACAGAAAACTTGGACAATAAAAATACCCAAGGAATGCAAATATATCTTATTTATCAACACACACCCATTCATGTACTTACCCATCCTATTTTTAAAGCTACCCAAGAAAGGTTCTCGCTTCACTAAGGCTACTCGGGAGTTCCGCTCATCTACAACCGTATTACTAGACCAGTACTTTCCTATATTCTTTCCAAACGTATATTTTTAGTTTGAATCCATTGCTACGAGATCTGTCTTGGTTAGATATTTTCAGCACGTTATATATATTCTCTTTACGCCTGTGTGGATATTATCATCCTCCTACTCACCCACCCTCCTCCTGCAGCAGCAGCAGCACAAAAATGTTACATGTCATTAGATTTTCTTCAGAGTTGGACAATTGGTGTGATGGTTCTGGTGGTGCGTTTTCTGTTGGCAGCGCTACTGATGGTGCTGCTACTGATGGTGCTTCTGATGTTGGTGCTCCTGGGATTGCTGCTGGTGGTGTTGGTGCTGCTGGTGTTGGTTCTGCTGATGGTAGTGCTGCTGATGTTGGTTCTGCTGGTGTTGGTGCTGCTGGTGTTGGTGCTGCTGGTGTTGGTTCTGCTGGTGTTGGTGCTGCTGGTGTTGGTGCTGCTGATGTTGGTTCTGCTGGTGTTGGTGCTGCTGGTGTTGGTGCTGCTGGTGTTGGTGCTGCTGGTGTTGGTGCTGCTGATGTTGGTTCTGCTGGTGTTGGTGCTGCTGGTGTTGGTGCTGCTGATGTTGGTGCTGCTGGTGTTGGTGCGCTGGTGTTGGTTCTGCTGGTGTTGGTGCTGCTGGTGTTGGTGCTGCTGATGTTGGTTCTGCTGGTGTTGGTGCTGCTGGTGTTGGTGCTGCTGATGTTGGTGCTGCTGGTGTTGGTGCTGCTGGTGTTGGTGCTGCTGGTATTGGTGCTGCTGGTGTTGGTGCTGCTGGTGTTGGTGCTGCTGGTGTTGGTGCTGCTGGTGTTGGTGCTGCTGATATTGGTTCTGCTGGTGTTGGTGCTGCTGGTGTTGGTGCTGCTGGTGTTGGTTCTGCTGGTGTTGGTGCTGCTGGTGTTGGTGCTGCTGGTGGTTTGGTGCTGCTGATGTTGGTTCTGCTGGTGTTGGTGCTGCTGGTGTTGGTGCTGCTGGTGTTGGTGCTGCTGGTGTTGGTGCTGCTGATGTTGGTTCTGCTGGTATTGGTGCTGCTGGTGTTGGTGCTGATGGTGTTGGTGCTGCTGGTGTTGGTGCTGCTGATGTTGGTTCTGCTGGTGTTGGTGCTGCTGGTGTTGGTGCTGCTGGTGTTGGTGCTGCTGGTGTTGGTGCTGCTGATGTTGGTTCTGCTGGTGTTGGTGCTGCTGGTGTTGGTGCTGCTGGTGTTGGTGCTGCTGATGTTGGTTCTGCTGGTGTTGGTGCTGCTGGTGTTGGTGCTGCTGGTGTTGGTGCTGCTGATGTTGGTTCTGCTGGTGTTGGTGCTGCTGGTGTTGGTGCTGCTGATGTTGGTGCTGCTGGTGTTGGTGCTGCTGGTGTTGGTGCTGCTGGTGTTGGTGCTGCTGATGTTGGTTCTGCTGGTGTTGGTGCTGCTGGTGTTGGTGCTGCTGGTGTTGGTGCTGCTGATGTTGGTTCTGCTGGTGTTGGTGCTGCTGGTGTTGGTGCTGCTGGTGTTGGTGCTGCTGGTGTTGGTGCTGCTGATGTTGGTTCTGCTGGTGTTGGTGCTGCTGGTGTTGGTGCTGCTGATGTTGGTGCTGCTGGTGTTGGTGCTGCTGATGTTGGTGCTGCTGGTGTTGGTGCTGCTGGTGTTGGTGCTGCTGGTGTTGGTGCTGCTGATGTTGGTTCTGCTGGTGTTGGTGCTGCTGGTGTTGGTGCTGCTGGTGTTGGTGCTGCTGATGTTGGTGCTGCTGATGTTGGTTCTGCTGGTGTTGGTGCTGCTGGTGTTGGTGCTGCTGATGTTGGTTCTGCTGGTATTGGTGCTGCTGGAGCTGAAGTTGGTGCTGCTGGTGTTGGTGCTGCTGGTGTTGGTGCTGCTGGTATTGGTGCTGCTGGAGCTGAAGTTGGTGCTGCTGGTGTTGGTGCTGCTGATGTTGGTGCTGCTGGTATTGGTGCTGCTGGAGCTGGAGTTGGTGCTGCTGGTGTTGGTGCTGCTGGTGTTGGTGCTGCTGGTATTGGTGCTGCTGGAGCTGAAGTTGGTGCTGCTGGTGTTGGTGCTGCTGGTGTTGGTGTTGCTGGAGCTGAAGTTGGTGCTGCTGGTGGTCATGATGCAGTGAGGGTGGCTGTCTACTTCAGCAGTCCACCACAGCCGCAGACTGAGGGTGCTCTAGTCTAGCACTACGTTACACTTCCATGAACTTACCGCCTTCCACCACATTAAGAATAACTTAACCATGAAGAGTAACGTAAATTATAATTAATAGTGACTCACTACAGTGTTTTTCTTCAAGTTTTAGTTAATTGTGACACACAGATCTTATTTCCTTATTTTATCGTCCTTGATTTGTGTAATTGTTTGATTTTCTTTTCTTGCAGGTAAGTACCCGTCATGGTGACGTGTGATGATGTGTGATGTCGTGTGATGACATGTGATGGTGAGTTATCTCTTAAAGTTGTGTGTTAATGGTTCATCACTTCTGCGGCCTGACCTCAGACCAGGACTTCTAACTTGGAAATTGCTAGAGTAAGACCTAATAAGAAAACGTTAAAGAGCAGATCAGTGCATATTGAATGTAAATAGAAGTTTGTAAGATTTATCTGTTTTGTGTTACGTGCTCACGAGACAGAAAAAAGACCAGCGAAGCTATCTTCCACCTCACACTCATAACAGGAAGGTAACACTTCCCTGGATGCTTGTTGTCTACCAAGCTATTATTACCTACCTGTGGATGCTAATATGACGGGGAAGGTAGTACTTCCCTTGATGCTTGCTGGATTTTCAACTTCTTGACAGATAGTACACAAAAACGTATTAGTAAACAGAAAATCCAGAATTAGCGAAGTAGAAAGCTCAGTTCCCCAAGGCATGGCCCTGGCGCCTCTACCATTGATTATTTATAGCGGGCATAAATATAAACACCCGTCACAGACAGTGGCTTACGCGCTGGCCTGGAGTTTTACCACTTACTTGCCATGAGTTCTAACCCCACCCGTACTGCGGTTTATTTGCAATCGTGTCATTACGATTTCGTGAGTCACCTGTCACAGGTTTGTATCATCATTTGCAGATAACACTAAAATGAGCATGAAAGTCACCTCTGGAGAAAACACTCAAAAATTACAGGAAGATATGAGCATTATTTTCCAGTGGGCAGTGGAGAACAACATGACGTTCAATATTGATAAGTTCCAGCTGCTTAGATATGGAAAGAATGAAGAACTCAAAAGGAACACTGTGTACAAAACCCAAGATCATCATCATATAGAATGAAAGAAAAACGTGAAAGAAATGGGAGTAATTATGTCAGTTGACTTTTCTTTCGAAGAACACAATAACACAATAAGGCAAATGTCACATCAAGGAAAATGACGAGATGGATAAATATGGATTTTTAAAACAAGAAAAATAATGCCAATGATGACATATTCAAAGTATGTGTGCGCTCTCGTATATTATTTATTGTTGACGGCCTCGTTGAGGGCAGGAGAGTCATCAGAGCTGGAAGAAACAGAGATCATTTACGGCCAATACAGAGCCAATAAAACATTGAAATTACTGGCAACGTCTCAAGGTCCTAAATATATACTCACTGGAGAGGAGGAGAGATACAAGATAATATACACCTGGAAACTAATTAAGGGCCTGATCCTAAATCTGCCCCGTGGGCAAACTAAGAGAACGGTGTATCAACATCCGTGGTACCAGATTATTCAACATCTTACCAGAAGATATCAGAAGTACTGCTGGGACTGGTGTAAAAGTCTTCAAGAAAAAAGTGTACAAGTATCTCCAAGTGCCAAATTAATCAGGCTGTGATGAAGATGCGGACCGCCAGCAGCAACAGCCTGGTGGTTGACTAGGCAAGCACCAGACAAGCTTGGTACAGAGCCAGGCTCTGGGAGTAGAACAACTCGAAACTCATCAAAGGTATGACAGGTAAAGGTATCTGTAGACACTCATAAAGCAGGAAGTGAGCACCTCCTTAGATGATTGTTGTCTGTCAAGCTTCTGTCTACCTGTGCGTTCATAATGTCAAGAAAGTTTGCATTCAATAAAGACTGTGTACCCGGGCAGGCATATATTAGTAGACGTCATTGTGCGGGGCTTGTGTGTGTGTGTGTGTGTGTGTGTGTGTGTGTGTGTGTGTGTGTGTGTGTGTGTGTGTGTGTGTGTGTGTGTGTGTGTGAGTGTGTGTGTGTGTGTGTGTGTGTGAGTGTGTGAGTGTGTGAGTGTGTGAGTGTGTGTGTGTGTGTGTGTGTGTGTGTGTGTGTGTGTGTGTGTGTGTGTGTGAGTGTGTGTGTGTGTGTGTGTGTATGTGTGTGTGTGGAGGAGAGAGGGTGGGGGAGGGGGGATTGTTGGGAAGGGGGGGAGGGAGGGGTAGTTTTATAGATAATTCAGACCTGTGACTCGAGCAGCTGTATTCACCATTTTGTCAGTCAATTCCGCATTTTTATATTCATGAAGCTATAAAGTCAAAATCTATCAGTGTTATACCATACAGATGTCATTAGTATACGATTATGAACAAATGTTGTATGGGATTATTAATATTTTAATACAGCAGTGACTAAGTCTGCATCTGTGAAAATATAGCCAACTTATATATTTATGACTACCTATCCTCATTACATGCTGTAAATAGTCTGGGGTCTGACTGTAATGTACCTAAATTGAGGCAAGACACAGATATGCACAAATTATTGAGAAAAGAATTTAAATTAAACCCGTGTTACACTGTACCAGGAGAGTAGCTTCAACTGTGTTAGTAAGACTAACATCAATGTTACACTGTACCTGGAGTGTAACTTCAACTGTGTTAGTAAGACTAACATCAATGTTACACTGTACCTGGAGTGTAGCTTCAACTGTGTTAGTAAGACTAACATCAATGTTACACTGTACCTGGAGTGTAACTTCAACTGTGTTAGTAAGACTAACATCAGTGTTACACTGTACCTGGAGTGTAACTTCAACTGTGTTAGTAAGACTAACATCAGTGTTACACTGTACCTGGAGTGTAACTTCAACTGTGTTAGTAAGACTAACATCAGTGTTACACTGTACCTGGAGTGTAACTTCAACTGTGTTAGTAAGACTAACATCAGTGTTACACTGTACCTGGAGTGTAACTTCAACTGTGTTAGTAAGACTAACATCAGTGTTACACTGTACCTGGAGTGTAACTTCAACTGTGTTAGTAAGACTAACATCAGTGTTACACTGTACCTGGAGTGTAGCTTCAACTGTGATAATAACACTAACATCAGTGTTACACTGTACCTGGAGTGTAGCTTCAACTGTGTTAATAACACTAACAGCAGTGTTACACTGTACCTGGAGTGTAGTTTCAACTGTGTTAGTCACATTACCAACATTATCAGTGACTCTTCTGCATCACTCTTCTCTAATACTACTCTCACACGTCACTTTAATATAAGTGAATTTCTTCCCGGCTCAACCACATTTTTTCCCTTCTACTTTAATTTACAGTCGAGATTTTTATCTGTAAAATTATTATGTATGCTTACCTGGAGGTTACCTGGAGGTTATTCCGGGGATCAACGCCCCCGCGGCCCGGTCCATGACCAGGCCTCCAGGTGGATCAGGGCCTGATCAGCCAGGCTGTTACTGCTGGCCGCACGCAGTCCAACGTACGAGCCACAGCCCGGCTGATCCGGCACTGACTTTAGGTATCTGTCTAGCTCTCTCTTGAAGGCAGCCAGGGGTTTATTGGTAATTCCCCTAATGCTTGATGGGAGGCTGTTGAACAATCTTGGCCCCCGGACACTTATGGTGTTTTCTCTTAGTGTACCAATGGCGCCCCTACTTTTAATTGGGGCATTTTGCATCGCTTGCCCAGTCTTTTACTTTCGTAGGGAGTGATTTTTGTGTGCAGATTTGGGACCATTCCTTCCAGGATTTTCCAAGTGTAGATTATGATATATCTCTCCATCCTGCGTTCCAACGAGTACAAGTCAAGTGCTTCCAAGCGTTCCCAGTAGTTAAGGTGCTTGACAGAACTTATACGTGCAGTGAAGGATCTCTGTACACTCTCTAGATCTGCAATTTCACCTGCTTTGAATGGAGATGTTAATGTACAGCAGTATTCCAGCCTAGAGAGAACAAGTGATTTGAAAAGGATCATCATTGGCTTGGCATCTCTCGTTTTGAACGTTCTCATTATCCATCCTATTATTTTCTTTGCGCTTGTGATCGTGGCACTGTTGTGATCCTTGAAAGTGAGATCCTCAGACATTACTACTCCCAGGTCCCTTACATTATTTTTCCGCTCTATTGTATGGCCAGAGTGTTTAGTATACTCTGTTCTACTTATTATCTCCTCCAGTTTTCCATAACGGAGTAGTTGGAATTTGTCCTCATTGAACATCATATTGTTTTCCTTTGCCCACTGTAAAAAACTTTGTTTATATCTTCTTGGAGGTTAACCGCGTCCTCAGCAGATGACAGCCTCATGCAGATCTTAGTATCATCCGGTGATGATACGGTGCTGTGGTGTATATCTCTGTCTATGTCTGATATGAGGATGAGGAATAAGATGGGGACGAGTACTGTGCCTTGTGGAACAGAGCTCTTCACTATGGCAGCCTCCGATTTAACTCTGTTGACCACTACTCTTTGTGTTCGATTTGTTAGGAAGTTGATGATCCATCTCCCCACTTTCTCAGATATTCCTTTAGCACGTATTTTGTGGTCTATTACGCCATGATCGCATTTGTCAAATGCTTTTGCAAAGTCTGTGTATATTACATCTGCATTCTGATTTTCTTCCAGTGCCTCCAAGGCCATATCATAGTGATCCAGTAGTTGTGAGAGGCAGGAGCGACCTGCCCTGAACCCATGTTGCCCTGGATTGTGCAGATTTTGTTAATCCAGATGATTTGCAATCCTGCTTCTTAGCACTCAAAGATTTTTATGATGTGGGACATCAGAGCTATTGGTCTGTAGTTCTTAGCTAATGCTTTGCTGCCACCTTTATGGAGTGGGGCTATATCCGTTGTTTTAAGTGACTGTGGAATTTCACCCATGTCCAAGCTCCTCCTCCATAGTGTACTTAGGGCACGCGAGGGGGGTTTCTTGCAGTTCTTAATGAATACAGAGTTCCACGAGTCTGGGCCCGGGGCTGAGTGCATGGGCATGTTGTCAATGGCTTTTTCGAAATCTATCTGAGTTAGGGTAATGTCGGAAATCTGGCATACATTTATGGAGCCTTGAGGCTCGTTCATGAAATCATTTGGGTCGTCGATCCTCAGACTGATTAGTGGCTCACTAAACACAGAGTCGTACTGGGTTTTTCAGTATTTCACTAAATTCCTTGTTGTCATCTGTGTAAGCCCCCATCCTTTTCTGAGTAAGGGCCCGATACTAGATTGGTATTTGTCTTGTTTTTGGCAATGAAAAGAAATATTTCGAATTTCTTTCAATTTCACTAATAGCTTAAGCTCCTCCTGTCTCTCCTTGTTCTGTAAGAGTCATTTAACTTAAGTTCGATAGTTTCC